AATCTTAATTAAATTCGTGAATTCAATTTTAAGAACATATGTCTTTAATTTAAATTCTTTGAATGATTGATGAACAACATCTCCTATTGATTAGATATGATTCTTCTCAATCCAATCTCGAAAGTCTGAATTACGCAAACAAACATTTCAAGATCACACAAGTAATGAATTTAATAACTATGGATTATCCAGAATTGTGTCGACATAATCTGAGATCAAATCAAAAGTATTTTTGATAGAATTGAGAAGGTAAGAAATAAGGTTTCTAATTATATTGAAATAGAAAACACTATATCATCACTTTACATGATCAAATTTGTAGATTGATTTATGAAATAACTCCTCCATCAGAGTTGTAAACACAAACGCATATTTAAGAGTAATTATCATGAAAATGCTAAAATAAATTACAAGAAAGAAAATAAGAAAGAACTCAAATTAACTCCAAATCAAAATTTAACAAAAATGTCAAAAGAAAAAAAAAAGGTTAAAAAGAGTTTGTCTCTAATTCCTCTAACTTCCTTTCCTTATACAAAGGCTAACTCTAAACTAAACCTAAAACAATAACTTTAAAAAGTAATATGTATCATAAAGTCTAATTAGACTCAAATCTTAATAAAAAAACTACTAGTGGGCACCTAATTCTTGTAACATTATTAGGAGGCCAACTTCAAATGTACATAACTTTTAGCTTAGAAATTCAAATTCAGCAAATGAGATGTTAAATTGAAACACTTTGAGTTAGCTTTTCAATGCAACAAGAATCACTGAAAATTTCACTTGCATTAAGAGTTTTGGCCAAAATAGTAAATAGATGTCAAAAGTAATAAAATGCAAGAATTAGGCAGAGCTATTAATTAAGACTCAAATAGACTCTAACCAATAAAACTAGCTTAAAATAGTGAAATAATTATAAAATAATGTCAAAAAGTAATAATTAAAGATACTAAAATAATATAATATGATTCATCAGAATATGAGATTGACAAATGCAAGAGTTGAATCATCTTATGTCGTTCCTATGATCATTTATATTAAATTGAACATAATTCGGATATTTATTCATATGTTATCCAAAATTTGATAATTTTTCTTATATTTTAAAGACATATTATCTATTAAAAAAAGTAATGTAATGAAAATCATTAAATTTATTTTTATATAAAAGTTGATCAACTTAATATAAATTTTTAAATCATTAATTAGATAATTAATCTTTCATTTGATGAAAAGTTATTAAGTGGTGTAAGTATTTAAATTTGACACTTGATATCAATAGATTCCAACTCTATAAAATAACAATAAAGACTAAAAAAATTTACCTATAAAATAGTAAAGAATCAAAATTGTAGAAAATTTTATTTATTTATTTAAAACAGCTTCATTCTTTCAATTAAAATGATTTATTTTTCTTATAAAAAGGTGATAGGAAGGAGATGACGCTCCAATCCTACACAGGTTAAGGCATCACGAGTTTGCTGGGAAGATTAGCATAAGCTCAAGCCAGAGAATTATTGTACAAGCTTAAAGGGGACTCAAACTCGTGCCCATAGGGACCGTCTATAGCTATTTAAAAACTTTTCCCAGCAACGTTTAACTTCTGGGATTGCAGGTGTTATTTTTATGTCTATTTCTCCTTCTTGGTGTGGTAGTTTTACTTCCCTAAGCGAACACAAGATATTTGTAACATCCTTTTCTCTATGTTTTAGTTTCCCTTCTGTTCCTAATGTGTACATTTTGCTTCCTCGTTTGTAAAATTCCCTTAACTTGCACTAATGAGCTGGACCATTCCCTAGAGGATCTCATCCATCCATGTGATGGTGGGTCACCCTCACTACCCGCTGGGACTTGTTTTCACTCCCAAGAATATGTGCCATTCAATGCAACCCATTAGATATTAACATGTTTTTGCAACTCATGGAAGCTGTTTGTTTCCAATGCATAGTCACAACCATGTCTCTTTCTTTTCCCTCTATGTTTTCTTTCTAACCCATCTTTGGACTATTGGCCATTTCCCTTCACTGTCCCAAATACCAATCATTCAACAAAAGTCCTATTTTAGCAACCCTACCCATTCTTAATTAAGGTCATCTTGTTGACTCCATTACTTAATTAATGTTAGATCCTACAAAGTGTCTAAATCTGATACAGAAAGTTCCTTTCCACTTGATAATGAGAGCTCATGGGTAACAAGTTATCAACTTACTTTTGTATTTTTCTAAATGGAAAAGTGTGTATAAAGTGTTCATAGGCTGGCAAATTTTGTCTTTAACTTGGACAATTCAACAACGAATACGTAGCGATTTGACGTTTATATACTAACATACTAATTATCCAATTAGAGGTTTGTAATTTGCATCTAAAAAGAATGGTTAGGCCAAAAGGATTGTTAATCAAAGGATAGTTGTAGTTCCACTTACGTATGGTTAGGAGAAGGACAAAATTTTAAAAAGAAATGCAAAGGAGGGATAATAAAAAATTAAATAAAAAACAAAGGTCATGATCGCTTCCATTTTCATATTGCGCCTTCAATGATTGACAAGAATTGCAGCCATGTGAAGTACATGAGGACTTTCAAGCATTGCAAGATTATCCAACCACTATGTCTATTGTTAAATTGTTCTTATTCAAAGCTTGGAAAAATGATGTCCAATGATCAACATATAGGGGGATTTCATTTATGTAAGATAGCGGATGAATATAAAATATAAAATTGTTTTGTCCTAAATTTTTGTTATTTATTCATTTATTTTTAAATAGTCTCACTTAATTGATGCACTGTTTGATGCGTGGTAGGTGATGTGAACCTTCTTGAATAATAGTAATTCCACCGTCAAATATAAATTACATTTATTTTTGTTTGTTTATTTATTTTGAATTTCACTTTCACCATCTAAGTTTTATTTGATCCAAAATAGTCTGTTATCTCTTAAAAACGTAATATTTTCTTGGTTCATAGCTTTGTTCAGTACACTTGCACGTGTCTTATATGTTATGAGTATGTTTTACTTTAAGTAAAGTTTAAAAATACAAATTTAAAATTATAAAAAATATGTATAATGAATTTAAACAAATAAAAGTATTAGCCCCTTAAATTTGAAAGAATAATCATTTAAGAATGAAAGTAGATGGGATTTGAGAAAAATATATATATTATTAAAAAATTTAAAATATATACAAAATTATTAAATAATGATGAAATCACATATAAGAAAAAATTTACAATATAAAACCTTATCATGTTTAAAAATAAAAATTTAATTTTATAAAATAAAAAATTATAATGTATCTCTATTTTACAATACATGATATATGAACAACGTAAATTGACTTAAGTTAACATTACTGCTTAAAGATAATTATGGTTAATAAGAGTAAGAATTTGAGTATGTATGACATCCCGAGCACTAACGAGGACAAGAAGTGATCGTCGATAAAAAAAAATGAGACACAAATAATGAACAGTTCCTATGTATATGTGGTATCTTGAACACTAATGAGAACAGAGAGAGTGATTGTTGGTAAAAAAGATGAGGCACAACTAATGAAAGATTCATGACAAACTTTTAACAAAAAAAATACATGAATAAATTAAACATATATTATAATGAGAATTATTTAAAAATTGTACAAATACGAGACTATACAATACTTTCAGTAATTTATTACTTAAGAATTTTAAGATTAATCATGTTTAAATTGAATGTTTTTTTAAGATAGACGACGTTTTAAAAAGTTCAATATATATATATATATATCTATATATATATATATATATTTCGTTGTTGTTAAAAATAATATAGATTAATACTTTTGTGTCTAAAAGAGTTAATTTGGATAAATTTTATAATAAATATTGATGAGAGAAAAAATTGAAAAGAATAAAGTTTCTTCTATAAATTATATTTTATTTATTTATCTTAATCTAGAGCAATTAGGTGAGAGAATTTTTTTAAATAAATTGAGATATATAAATTAGTTTTAATTTATAAAAGAATTATTTTATTCTATTTCTTCACTTTGATTTTTCAATCTTTTTTCTCCTCTTGTAAATAATAAAAAAATCTATTCAAATCAGCTTATTGTTGTTTGATCGAAGTCCCAAAGACAACAAATTATATCACATCACATATCCTATATTGCTTATTGTGCTGAAGATATGGACTACATTGGGATAACAAAGTTAATATGCACATCAAAACGACAATATTAAAGGCATTTACATTCTAACCTAACCCCACTCCATTCACAAAAATTAGGAAAGGGCATTCAATCACGTATATCCTCATTTATAAAGAAAATACAAAAGGATGGAAGAGGAACATGAAATTTTCATGCTTACCATATAGTATTTGATTCCATCCACCTCAGCATAGTAGAGAGACCCTTCCAGAAAAAAAGAAAAGAGAGCTATTGTAAAGTTTTGCTTTAGAATCTCTACTGCTTTTTTTTTTTAATTATTATATATAACTACTTTAAAAAAATTATCGGACTATTTTAATCTAAAATGTTGAATTAAAATGTAAGGAATTCCATGTAACTGTGTGTGTTCAACAAAGTCTCATGATTCAGAACTCAACTATGCAACTAAGCTTACCAAATCTGGTAACAAGATTAACCCCATATTCATGTCTAAAACACTCCTTGTAAAGAGTCAATATATATACATTTTGATAAGCTGAAAGAGTTGAACTTTGAACCAAAATGAATATTTTGAAATTAACTTACAATTATTGAAAATTTCTTGTATTTTAGTCAAACTGTTAGTTGTGGCCCGCATCTAGCCTTATCAAAATTCCAGTAAGATTAGAGTCAAATCAAATCATTATACTAAATGATAGACTTTAATAAAAAGAGTTGGACCCTGACAGTTACCGTTTTTAGTCCGGAAATAAAAGCTCAATCCAAACGTAAATGAAAAACTTGATGTTAAGTGATAATAACTAAGTTGCAAGAAAAATTTAATAATAAAGAATATAGTTTTTCATTTTTTTTGTCTAATTAATTTGATATTGTTGCGATTTTAATATTTTTTTTTAATTAAGTCCTCTACTTTTAATATTGTAAATTTTTTTGTCAAATTTTCTACCCAATACATAATCCTCATTTTTTGGACAAAAATAATAATCTGATGATTTTAATAGAATAAAATCGATGGAGGGAGCAAAATGTACAATTTTAAAAGTAGTGAAACTTAATTAGTTTGAAAAAAATAAAAAACTAAAATCACACCTGAACCGAATTAAAGGGACTAAAAGTCCAATTAATTCTTAAAAATGTAAATATCAGCTCCTTATAAGACTAGTTTAAACAACTAATAATGGTTAAATTGTATTGAGGAGAAATTAAGTTGTGTGCGAGAAGACCCACACCGGAACGGGGCAGCATGCGGTATCATAACGCATGACGAATGCATGGTGGTCCTGCTTTTATGAGTGTAGATGATTAAACAGTTGAATTGGATATATCTAATACTGTTCCAAAGGGAAAATAAAACAAAACAAGTCCCCACTTCTGTTGCCCCAAACTACACCTCCCCAACATTCAATCTTGCAAGAAAGGGTAAACCCCAAAACCAACAAATGCAAATGGATGTTAGTTTCAAACATTGAAAAGTAAAAAGGTGTGGGAAATGGATGGATAGAATGAAGGAGAACACAGGACCACATAAATGGTCTGGTGATGTCACCCACTTAGTCCTTTTATCATAAAGGAAAAGAAAAAGTGTGTCAAAAGACAAACCCACCATTGCATATCTTTGTTGCTCATTTCAGCATGTCCAAATTTAGAATTTAGGAATATTAACATGCAAGAATTTTTTTTAAAAAAATTAGAATAATAATTTCATATTATCTTTGAACTTTTTTAAGGAGAGTTCAAATTGTAAATGTGGAGAAGTTTTTGACATATTTTATAGGAGGAAACTTCATTATTGTCCAAAGTAGCTATGTAATAATGTAATTCAATGCATATTTAGTTTATGTTTTTACTTTCTTAGAGAATTTTTAAAACACAAGTGATTGTTTTTTGAAATTAAATAAAACTAAATATGCTATTAATCTTTAAAATTATGCTTACCATCTGAAATCATAATCACAAGTTGCCCATTTGTTTTTCAGTGCTTTGTAACTTGGTGGAGCTTAAGAAGTTCCAATTTGCTTTGAACTGCACGCTGCTCATTCTTTTCAGTCAAACTAAGAACAGGAAACAGAAAGATACATGGTCCACACAAAGCCCTTGAAATCTACAACCAAAATGTATAAAATGGGCTTGAAGTGGAGTTTTACCAAACCTCCCTTCAAGTAACATGGGTAGGCCCACTTCAAGAGCCACAGGTTAAAACACTTGACACATGCAGTCAAAAGCTGCTATCCACTGTACAAAAAAAAAGGTACTAGTCAGTATATATGTACCACTCTTCATTTTTTTAATGACTAATACTACTGTCTCGAACTAGTAACGCGTAACATTGTATTAACTATAAATTTTGTAAAATTATTGAATTTCATGCGAATTATCGTTAAATTTAATTGATATAATGCTGTAGGAAGCAAATAGTGCAATATTTGTGACGTTGCAAACGGTGAAAAACAAGAAGGTTGTGACAATTGCCCAAACGTGACCCCAGCAACCAGCGTAGCAACTTTTTACACTGAAGAATATATTGGAGAATTTTTTGAAGGGATCCGACATGACCGTATGAGACGACAGGATGACCTAATTGAGAATCTTTAAAGCAGTGAATGTATTAACAGATGACAAAGAGCAAATAGAAACCGATTGCAATGGACATGATGAAGAATCGCACAAATACCCCATGCTGGAAAATGAAAAATGCTGAGCAAGTCAACTCTCACCAGGCATTTTATCCAAGAGTTAAAGGTAGTTTTGTGTACTACAACTTGTTCCAATGTGCTAATGTAGTGTGTATATAAGTATGTGCATCCCTGGCTGTAAAGATAATAGGAAAAAGGTCCAACTTTGTATTCAGATGCGATTTTGAGTGATTGTAAACCAAACTCATGAATGAAAACATTATGAATTGCATAAAAGGGTCGTCAAGTATAGGAAGGTCGATTCCATTCAAGAGCTTTTAAAATATTCTGTAGGCTTCCGAAATTCAACACAAGCTATTTTATATCACAAAAATCAAATAAAATGAGTATTTACTAGAAGGAGCTGTTTTAATAATATGTTCTTATCTTGTAACGCTTTTCACACACTATATTTTCTATCTTATAACACTTTTCTCTCTTTTCTTCTTGTCTCTTCTTACTGTAAAGTGTGCTGTGAGAATATGCCGCTGAAATAAATTTTTCTATTAGATGTAACTAATTTTCTGTCATTTAAAGCATAACTGCGGTAGTAACCCTAGGCATGGATAAAATTAAGCTTAAAATTATATTAACTTTCGATAAAATTAAGGTAATATTCATGCAACGAAATTTCGCAAACAAGTTGTAAGATACCAAGAGGAAACATACTCTCGATTTGAAAAAATATAATCAAGTTTCTTTTTTCATTTACCTGTATAGGATACCTACCCGCGCTTGTGTCATTACAAAAGGCGTTCAGCAGTCTAGTTTTTGCATACAAGATGTTATATACGTAGAACATGTCGCATAAGATTTGACGGTTTTAGCTCCAACCTTGCCTCAATACACATCGTAGTGTAAAAGAAACAGCCATGCTAACGCGAGAAAGAAAACGTTAAATAGGTAATAATAGTCACACGGAAGTGGACAAGTTGGGCCAGCTTCAACTGAAACGATGAATTAATATCGCCCTCCTTTTTTTCACAAACTCAAAATTATGATAAAATAAAGCAACAAGAGAAAGTTGAATAAACTATTGCTCTCTAAGTTGAATAATTTAAAATAAGTCAACTTGGTGTTATAAACCTCTCGCCAAGGCAAAGGCCACAGAAGGGATGGACTCGTCACACAGCCTTACCATGCATTTGCAAGAGGCAGACTCTAACTCGAATCAGTGACCTAGTCACACAGCAAGGCCATCTTCAAGTTATAAAGATCCATTTTCAGATGCATTAACTGTTAAATTTTTTATACCTTTATTTACTGTGAGATTCGTATCAACAAGATACTTCCCATTACCATACAAGTTAATAAATTCATTCGTTTAATGTATAAATTGCTAATTTAACCATTTATTACTATGAATATTTTTGAAATACACCATAAATTTATGACATATAATAACTTTATATTGATGTTGACGAATTGGTTTTTTTCTTATAAAGACAAAACGTAGGTGTTCTGTAATTAGAATCATAGTTATAAATAGTAGGCTATAGTGGCGGTATAGCTGAATAGCAGGGCGATTTTGAACGGCCGTTGATGCGGCCATAGCACTGCTAGAGTAAACTTAAAAAAAATAAAATCGTTGTCCTAAAAAAGCAATGCCTTCGGGGATTTTTTTTTTTTAATTTAATTGTTATTTCCTTGTATGTTTTGCCTAAGAACTATGAATATGTCATGAATTGAGTTTTTTTTAAAACCTTTTTGCATTTATATATATAGAGTATAATTTTTTTAATGGCTCAAGTATTTAGTTCTTGCAAAAGTTATACAATTTAGACTTAGTCCCTATAAAATTTTTGGTAAGGATAGTCTTTACATTTTCACAAACTATTGTTTTTAATCCCTTTAACTGACATGATAATTGACATACTACCAAGTGTTAGCTTTTAGTTGAATCACATTAGCTAAAAAGACTAAAAACAATAGTTCGTAAAAAATAGAAATTATATTCTAACCAAATATTTTATAAGGATTAAGTTCAAATTATACAACTTTTGTAAGAATCAAACAATAATCCCACTGTGCCCTATCCTACAATAGCATTTTTAGCGTTGGCTGCTACACGTCACTATCCAAGATTGATAACCATGATTAGAATTGAAGTTTCATATCAATAATGTGTACTGACATTTAATGTCAAACCTTATTATGCAGATCATCAAGATGAAACTCCAACAGTTATTCGAAAACAATACGGAAAGTGCCAATGATACTACCCTAAATTTTGTCCTTATTTAAAGGACCAGAAGGAGTACTACGCATAATGCTTACTACCCATTATCCAATTGGTAGATTAGACTCATAAGATATTATGTTTTACTTAAATTCATTTTCATGTAAATGGATACCTTAGGGGCTTTATTTTTTCAATCTCTCTAGGCACTCTTAAAATAGACCAATGTTCATTTACATTAAAATAGACTAAAATGTAACCCATTTTCCTCTATAGGGAAGGGAAGTACAGTTTTTCAAATTTCAAAATAGGGGAAAGCATGTTATATTTAAGCATGTCCAAAGAAAGGAGCAAAATTTGCATTTAACCAACTAATGAAGGTTTCTAGTCAGCAGAAGTGATAGAACAACATATATTTGTCAAGAAAAGTCTAGACCCCTATACTCCTCAGCAACATCCACAAAATGATATGATGAATGTGACAGAAACAAAACAACAGTTCACATAAGTCAGATCAGTAAATGCAAGCTATCAATGCAATCATGAACCAAGCACCTGTTTGTCTTTGTGAAATTTCTTACTTTTCAAAGATCATTTTCTTTTTTTAATATTTTTTAAAATGTTTCTATGAAAAAACAGTTGTTTACAAATTATTTGTGTTTGTACTTTTAGAGGGTGACACTAGGGGTAAAAACTCAACAAGTATAATATATTTTCATTTTGATGCCATTGTTTCTAGTTGTGGAAATATCCTGTCCTCCATTCATGAGAGTAAGGATGATTGCATCTAAACCTTCTGATACAACGTTAAAGTTTGATAAACAAACTAACTAAAATGTTAAACTCAACATGGCCAATCAGGCATCCTTCAAACATTCAAATTCCAATCAAATGCTAAAGTTTTATATACAAGTTAACTGAAATTTAAAGCTAATTTGTCTTCCATCATATGAATAGCAGAAGCATCTATTATAGTGACAAAAACTCTTCTGTTTTCATTATAAATTAAAAGTATGAAGGGGACATAATTCATTATTGCTCACAATTAAACGGCATCTAGGGTAGGCCTGAGAATGGGGATGGTAGGGGCAGATTTGGATTTAGCTCCACCTGAATTTCCAAACTTAGCTGACGATGAATATATTCAAACCCACACACTACCTGCTACACTCCTCATATATGAACATTTTAAATAGTGAATCACTGAATTGCAAAGTTAAAATTAATCCACCATCTCATACAAATCAAAGATACGTACATTCGGGATAACTACTAAACTAGGGAAGACTAGTTACAATTTACAAAAGGATATAACTTAGTATAAACAAACATGCAGACTCAGTAGTCAGTTATAAACCAAATCAAACAAGATCTACATATTTCCTACATAAACTTGGGGTCCACCACAGGTTATAGAACATCAAGTACTAACCAACTGCACCCGATAAGAAGAAGACTCTATGACCTATTAATATTAAAGTCAACATTAAAGATGGCGAGTCATCTTTCATCTCAAGTGTTCATTAGCAGAATCAGGTGAAAGTTGTTCAATCTTTAGTACACATGCTATACCATGTTCTGATCTTGGTAAATTGTCCAATATACCTCACCAAATCCTCTAAATCTTGAACAGAAACTAAATGGCCATAATTTCCATTAACATTATCTCAGTTTAGCTTTCAAGTCCCTCAAAACATCGCTAACCAAACCCTACCTACCTACCAAGCACATATAAATAAAAACCTATATCTGAACACAGAATGTCTGTTGCAATTGAAATTTTTTAGCAGCAATTCGCAATTGAAACAACCAAAACCGCATTATGCGAAAAAAAATTACTAAGAACACTACTCATAATCCACAACTGAACTAATCCAAAAGTAGCAACAATTTCTCCAAAATCCCGACTAACCTTCGCAGGATTTAGGCACCGCTATCGTTTCTATCATCATCGTTCCCACCGACATTCCCCGTGTCACCACCGGCGATGTGCACGCCGGAATGAGCCGTTCGCCGGCGAGTCCTCGACGGAAGAATGTTATTCAAATCGACCTCCGCGAGAGGGTCATCGGAAAAATCGCTGTCTTCGCCGGAACCACTTCCTTCGTCGTCGGAATCGTCGTCGTCACTGTCATCGTCGTCGTCGTCTTCTTCTTCTTCTCCTTCTTCTACTATCATTTTCCCCTTTCCCTTGTCGTCACGCAAAATCCCTTTCCCCTTTCGGTCCACCTCAGGCTCCTCTTCCACATCATCTTCTTCTTCTTCTTCTTCTTCGTCGTCGTCGTCTAATTCATTTTCATCATCGCTGTCGCTTTGATGTTGGTTGTCGTCGTTGGCGTCTTCACTGGGGCCAAGAACACGGTGGGAAGGGGAAGTGGGAAATTGGGAAGTGTTGTCGTTTGAGTGTTGGGGTTCTAATGATGCGAGTTTAGGAGATTTGGTTGGGAGGTGTTGGATGTCTTGGGCGATGGGATCGAGTTTGCGTTTGGAGGGTAATGTGGGTTCTTGGGGGTCGTTGTCGTTGAATTCGGCCATGAATGCGGGTGTGACTGAGATTTTGGGGATGGGGCAAGTTAGGGTTTTGGGGGGAGATGAGATGTACCAATCTCTCTCAATCACTACACACTCTCACCGATTCGCTTCCTTTGTTCCCAAAATCCAAATTGCTCTGTCAAGTAAGGGCTGTTTAAATATGTTTTTAGTATTTACATTTTAATTAATTTCTGGATTCAGTGTCTTTAAATAATTTTTTTTATTTTAATTTTTGTTTTTTATAAATTTTTACTTTTAGTCTTTAACTTTAGCTAGTGTAATTAAATAAAAAATTAATATGTCACGCTATTTGAATAGATCAATATTAAAATTTAAAGTAAAATAATTTAAAAAATTAAAATGAAAAATTTGTAAAAACATATTTAAGTCAGATAACTTTTATATAATTTTTTATTTTTCTTAAATTTTTTTATTTTTATTATAATATTTAAATACATATAAGAGATTATAATAAAAAAAAAATTTAATGACGCTTCTAATATTTTCTGTTTTTTAATCAGTGAATTTCGTATATATTATTTTATGACACTATTTTTTAATATATTAATTAACTTGACATATAACTTTTTTATTTTAAACTCTTTTTATTATTCAAATTTAAAATTATTTTTATTTTAAATGGTGCAAACATAAATTTTCTAAAGTCAAATTTGTGTATTAAATTATGAATACTAATATCTTAAGTTATAAAAACATCATTCAACATAATTTTTAATATAATTATTTATTATTAGTTTCTTAACTGATTCATTAAGAATATCAGTTAACAAAGTTATTTTTCTAATTCTCCCGTTGATGATAAATAGAGGAAAGATTTGTTTATATCAGTGTAAAGCTTTATTTGTCATTCAGTAAATTTATATAGTATTTGACTGTTATCAATTTAATATTAAATTATATAAAACTAGTTAATTGCACGTACATAAATACTTTATTTTAATATATATATATATATATATATATATATATATATGCAATAAAATTATTTTAAATTAACTCTATAATCAAAAAAATATAAAGTAATAATTTTTTATCAATATAAATATTGCAGAAAAATATATAAATTTATATAAGTTAATAAAAAAATTAAGTAAAAACTTTTAGTTTTTAAATTTGAAATGCAATTAAAAAATATATAAGTAAAATTTAAATCATTTGTAACAAAAAAGAATATAGTTCTCTTAATATTAAAAAATAGACATAATTAACTGTAAATAAAAGTAATTTTACTAAATATTTCATTTCTTAGATAAAAAGTACTGTAATTTATAATATAGAAGTTAATTATAATATAGGACGTTATATTATATTATTCATAATAAAAATATAAATAATTTTGGTTCTTAAACTTGATAATAAGATTCATAAAATTAAATCACACTATTTTTTACACTCTTAACATCATATTTTATGAAGAAATTAGTGCCACCATAATAAAACATTCTCTTTAATTTTCTATGACTCTTCTCTTAAGATTGACATTATAATCATGACACTCTTGATCAATAAAGATAATTGACTCATAGGTCCACATAAGCTCCAAGACAAATAAAGAATGAAGCTATCTAAACTTAAACAAATTTCATCATTTCTTTCAAAGCCTTTCAAATAAAAGACTTCATTAAACCAACCATGAATATACAAGGAGACATGGTAGAAATCGTAAAGTCAAATGACCTTATGTTAGAGTAATATTGAAAGATGCATAAATCAAAATTAAGTTCTCACGATAAAATTTAAGATAAATAAGCAAGCCACACAAAGACAACATGTCCATTTAGTTTAGTAAAAGACACTTGTTGACTAGACATAAAGTTGATGATAATTTGGAAAAAAAAAAAAAAGGATGACTTTCATTCCCTACCCAAGCATTCAACAATGCTAGAACCATAACAAGAGAATCAATATCAATAAAAACTCTAATCAAAATTGGTAAAGGTTTGAACCACATGCAATCAAGGCCTTGCAAAGGGTCACAAATATGCAAACGAAATTAAAGAATTAAAGATAGAGAAATTTGATTACTCGAATAAATGAACACACAAGTGCATCTATTGTCACAGAAGTATCATTAAAAAGAAATACCAAGTATTGTATTTATAGAGGCTGTTAATTATAATTTTCAACCCGTAATCACTCAATTGTTAAGAAACACAAACAAAAGAATTATGATGATAATTTTACTAAGATAAAAAATAGTAAATAGAAAGAAAGCTGATTTGAGGAATTAAAATTAAGAAGCGAGATTAAGTAAATTCAGATAAAGAAAGCAGATACCTAGATTGTAAATACTCCTAAGCATTCAAACAAATTATATTTCTCCATTAACTACCCAGTTTTAATCTCTTAAAGTTGGAAGAATTCTTAAAATAACCCAATATCTTTCTCAAGATAAATAACTCCTAACCTTGAGTTGATTAACCCAAATCTCTTCCTAATTAATACTCCTAGGCTGCATTAAATTTAATTTGTGAATTCTACAATTAGGATTGTCCTTAAAGCATAAGACTTATGCAATTCTATCTCTAAGATTGCAAGCAATTCTTTTCAAATGAGTAATGATCAATTTATACTAAATTTCTATTCAAAACTAGAAATATGAAAACAAGATAGGAGATAAAATGAATTATCAACCAACAAGCTAAACTACTTAATTGAACTCAAAAAAACAAAACTTGAAATAGTTTGAAGAAGTATTCAAGAAAAGGATTACAAAGGATTCATTTCATTTAGGTATTTAGAAAATAAATTAGAAATAAAACATAAGAAAACTACAATCCAAGATTAGAGAATGAGAAAAAATTCTTATTGTCATCCCCCAGTTGCAGCTGTCACACCTACTTTCTCGCTAATCATATCCCCTTCTAGGTTTTTCCATCCTCCTCTTTTTATATCAAATAGCCTAATTGCTCATTATTTCGTAGATGTTAAAATTTGATGCACATCATTTTATACTCTTAGATACATCATAGATACATGGTCATGTACTTGACCGTGTATCTCTCTTATTTTCTAATAATTCAGCCGTTTAAGCTTTCTATTAAACTACACGCTTAAAAACATGATTAATGAAGTTCAGCATAGATACACAGTCATGAATCTGAACGCTTATCTCTCTGCTTTTAAGACTTTGCTTATTTTATGTGATTCAAAAAGTACATGAGTAGATTTATGGGCATAAACTGTAGATCTTTGCCTTTGCACTCATAACAATTCATTTAGCCTAGAAAGCACATGTATAGATAAATGGTCATGAATTTGGCCATGTATCTTGCTGATTTTGTAAATCTTGAGAGAAAGTTGACATTGCTTCTCTTTTTATTGATTATCCTTTTAAAAGCTCTCATTTTTTTTCATTCTTCCTAAAACATAAATATCAATCTAATTAGTATAAATTCCCATAATGTGTAGCTCAAAATCCCAATCATTATTCTTGAACCACATTAGAGGATCAAGCATAAAAACATTTATAAAAAAATAATGCATAAGCACTTATCATAGTGGATTGTCAAAAAAATAAAAAATATAAGGTTTGAGGTTTCAATATTATCGTAAACAGAGCTCTTAGATATGACACTTAAATCACATTCTCACAAGCATACTAATATTTTGTGTTGAGATAAATCACAACATAAGCAATGAAGCTTCTCAAATATTTATGATTTTTATGAGAGGCTAAAAAAATAATAAAATGATATACATGAAAGTTAGATACAAAGTTAGAGTGACAATCCATGTATTTACACAAAGTTATGGTATATTATGAAGAAAATTTAGTTTTTACATGAAAATATATATTATAGTAAAGTAATTAAAATATATCATAGATGAGGCCAATTTTAATAATATAAACTAAAAATAAACTAATTGACAATATTTTTTGTTTTTATTTTTATTTATTAATTTAAAAATTATTTGGTTTAATTTTAAACACTTTTACGTGAAAATTAATTTTAAAAAATAGTGTCCAGCTATAATGGTTATTGCATGGGGAATTATATGATGTCCACAATGAAGAAAGCAAAGTTATTTTTCTTTCACAAATTCTAATGAGAAAGGAAATTTTAGGCCTGTTTGTTCGTCCAAAATTGATTTTGCTGGAATTGAAAATTTTTACTATCGTTCAAAGTGCTTCAGCTTTTGTGGAAAAAAAATATATTTGCAAAATTAATTGTGGCCTTTTGTAACAGAGAAGAAAACAAGCACTTCGCTTCTTGTTTGCGCAATACTAAGTATGTACAATTTTTAGATAAATTTAATCTTTTTAATTTCTTAAGAAAATTTGAATCTCAAGAATAAGGAGGATTGTTATATAAATGTACAGGGCGTAAAAAGATAAATTCAAAAATATTTAAAAGAATACAAAATTAAATATTGCTTGAATTTAGTGATGTCAAAACAGGTTTGTTTCACTTCGTTATAGAATGAGTTGGTTCGTCTGACTCTATTTGAAAATAAATTAAATTTTTTAACTTGATCATTTTTAAAGTGGGCTAACAAATTAATCAATCGAAGACTAAATAAATAATTATTTTATTATTTTTAAAAATTAAAAATGAGTTTGACAAGTTAGTCTATTACAACTTGTCATTGACTTGCATTTTAGCAGGTTAGGCAAATATTTTTTTTTATCTAAAATTTATTTTAAATTAAAACTATCATTTATAATTTTTATTTTTTTATTTTTTTTATTCACTGAGAATATGATTTTATAGAAAGATATAATATCTTCAAAGTATGGTAAAATTGAGAATTTTTATTGTCATTATATTTTTTAATTTCTTTAAAAAAAGTGTATATATTTGTGTCATAGAAACAAAATTTCTCCTTTCTAAACTTTTCATCTGATCACCTTAATGACGTTAATTATCACCTATTTGTTCTTTTGAAAGCTTATATGTTTTCGCTGGAAAGAATTTTCCATTCCTTCAACTAGTCTATAAAATACATTCTTTATTTTATTTCTTTTATTTCTCTCATAATCATCCCTCTTTTCTTTGATTTCACTCTGAATCTTCGTTCCTTCTTTCTATTATTATATTGAGCATCTTCTATATTTTGAATTCTTTGCAAAACGCTTGTATTTTACAAGCTTGATTTGCTGGAGAAGACTAAATATAAGTTTGCAATAACTTATTGCATATGATTTCTATTTCTTAAATTTTCTCATCTATTTATAACTTAAATGTGTCTTTAAAATATTATATAAAAAATAATAATTTTTTTCTCTAATATTTTCATCATTAGATCTTGAGATATTATTTTAGTTATAATGTTAATTTTTTTTATAATTTATTTCTTTTTATGTATTTTTTTAAATATATTATTTTTTTAAACACCTTAATATTTATATATTTAAATAATAAATATTTCACAATGTATTATTTTACTATGTATTTAATGGTCGTTATGTAATAATGTTATGTTAAAATATTTATATATTTTTATGGATTTTTTATAATTTCAAAAAAAAATTAATTCATTGCATCGCAAAAGCACTACTAGTGATTTTAAATTTTTAAGACTACTTAGAATATTTATTTTAATTTTATTTGATAAATATTTAATGTTTTAAATTTTAATGTGTATTTTTTTATTTTTAATACATATAAAAATAATTTATTTAAAAAAAAAGTGTCATAAAATATGTAACTCACATAAACTCATTAAATAAAGAGTTAAACTTAAACTATCATTAAGAATCTAAATTTAATATAAGATTCTTAATGATAGTTTAAGTTCAACTCTTTATTTAATAAGCTTATGCGAGTTACATACTTTAAGACATTTTTTTTTAAAATAAATTATTTTTATATTAAATAAAGGACATTATTTTAAACTATCATTATTTAAGCCAAACTTAATATTCTAACATCAATCATCTAATAATAATCAAACTTTTAAGTAAGAATTTTTGTTTATTTTATTGATCAATTAATTACATTTAGTAACATTAAGTTTATTTCATCATAGTCTATTACATTTTAAATATTTTTTTATTAAATACATACTTATAATAATTCCGTACAATACACATAATATTTATTTGTTTTAATCAATTTAACATTTGTTTTTCATGGACTAAATAATATGATTTGGGTCGAACTTCCACTATAGAATAGCAGGCCTCAGAATTTTCTAATCACAAGCCTATTAATATTCAAATTCCAAATGAGATATTAGGATATTATTTTATAAAAACTAAAATAAAATAAATAGAAATTTTTAAAAATGTCATCCGTAAAAAAAACTCAAAATATATTATGTTTTTATACTACATAATTGCACTAGGTTAGAGCAATTTAAAATTTATATACAAGTGACACCAACCTAGTGCACTTATACTTAATTATGGTAGGGGGACATACTACTATTGAGCACGTGCTTGAGTGTAACTGTAACTTATGTGTTAATGCCAAAATTATGGCAGGCTGGTATGATTTATAGTCAAGCATGGGCATGCTTAGCACCAGCACATCTCGTGCTCGACCAAAGGTTGAACATAAATCGCTATAAATTTATATGACTTAGGTTATAATATCTATTATATAAGTAAGTGAGTATATTTATTTGTTATTATATAAAGTAAAAAATTTGCAAAATAGTTGTAATATTAGAAGAAATATGACTAGAAGTTGTTATATATTAGTTCACTATAATGACAAAGTTACAAATATCACAGAAAGAGTTATTTTCAGTAGTGTTTTACTAATTTGCATAGTTATCTGTTCAACCATCAATTATTTATAGTTGCAAAACAATATATTGTAGCAATTAGGGCATGAAAATAATAGATTGGTCATGGAGATGTTATACAAGTTACCGGTAGCATTGGACAAGGCCTGATCAAATATACAAGTTATCCAATTTACAATGATAATGATGTGAGTATAATGTTTAATTTTCAAGCCCAATTAAGAGAGATTTGCATAATGAAAATATTTATAAGTTTGCAAGAATGTCAATTCAACTTAGGAGGTTCTAATCCCAAAGATTTAGTTGTTAGGACGTCATGCTCTTTAATTGATCATATTGACATAAATAATTATGAATGACAAAGAGGAAATATTGGCTAGTCAAAGCTTGCATAACTTTGTGAACTATTGGATGGTTAGCTTATTACTAGTTTTGACTTTTTAAATTTGATTAAACACACGGAAGATGTGGAAGAAGAACAATTTGATGGCCTTGTACCAAATGAAAGTGATGAAGGATTTGATAAGGAGATAGATGTTACAAGAAGATAGATGATATTAGTTAGATACAATAGTTCATGTCACAGTCTCAACGACAACCTAGTCACTATTTAACATTGAATTTGGATGCAATGAATCCCAGTAGTGTTGATGAGTTCTTAAGAAAAATAAGTGGAATTGTTAGTTTGGATGGATGAATAGAGGTAGAAGTCAAACAATTGTTCAAGTATAAGAAAGCTGTTTTATTTGTAATCAAGAGTTACAATATTCAAAGATTAAATGAATATAAAGTTTGAGTCAAATCATATAAATGCTATGGTAAATGTGTGAAGTTTGGCAGCAGATGCAATTGGAGTATTTGTGTTACTTATTGTCATAAAATTTCAATATGCGAAGTTTGGAAGTATAATAGACCACACGCATGTGTGTTTGTTTCAACTCTAGAAGGCTATCGGCAATTAAATAATGATGTTATATGTGCAATATTGTCAATAGTGTAATCTAATCCAACAATATCCATTAAAGTATTGCAAAGTGTTGTGGAGTCAAGATTTAAATTTAAACTAAAGTATATGAAGGTATGATATGTGAAATGGAAGAAAATTGACAAGATTTATGGTAATTAGGAACTTTCTTACAATGAACTTTTGAGATGGTTTCTTGAACTATAGTCTTATACGTCTAGTTCATCTATTGACTCAACCATATTATGTTGGTAATATTGTTGATCCTAATTGTGTAATGTTTTTAGCCTTTTGGTTTTGGATATTCTGTAAGAGACATTTAAATATTGCAAACCATTTATTTCAATTGATAGCACACATTTGTATGGAAAGTATAGTGAAACACTATTAATGGTCATTGTCCAAGATGGTAACTCGAACATATTGCTTGTTGTATTTGCCGTAGTTCAGGGAGAGACTAGGGAATGTGATGCTTTTTTAGTAACCTTTGATAGTATGTCACTTTGGAAGAATAAATTTTTGTAATTTTTTTATAGACATAGGTCTATAAAAGCTAGTGTGAATGTAAAAGGTAGTGTGTGTCATCCATTAGTAGCATATCATGCATATTGTATTTGTCACATATCTTTAAACTTTGTGGTTTGGTTCAAGAGCAAAGATGACAAGATAAAGATGCTAGTAATATTACAATTATTTTGTTTTACATTATGCAACTATAAATAAATATACTCACTTACTTATCTATAGGGTGCCCTAATCTAAGTCACATAACTTAGAGTGACTTATGTTCAGCTTTTGATCAAGCACGAGATATACTTATATTAAATATAATTATACTTAACCATAAGTTGTAATAACTTGTTATGACTTATGCATTAATACATAAGTCACATTAATTTTGTGTTTGATACGACTTACATTCAAGCAGAATTGTACTCAATATCAACACACTTATGCTCGCTCGTGCGACTTATGTGTAAGTGTTGAATTATTTTAATTTGGTATGAATTATGTAATATATAAAAAAACATATTTTAGATATTTTTACAAAAGATAATATTTTTGAAAACTTCTATTTATTTTATTTTTAAAAAAAATTTGAGATGTTATGGTCCATTTTTTTACATTTACATTGCTTTTTTTTTAAATTAAAATTTTATTTTTTTAGAATTTTAAAAATTTTAAACATTTTCAAAATTTAATTTGAAAAATTAATTTGCATTGATTTTCAAAATTAATTACACCTTTGGAAAAAAAAAAATTTACGGAAGAGTTTCGTAATTAAAATTTGCAGAGGGTGTGTAAAAATGAATTTCCAGATATTTCTCTGTTCTTATTTTTCCGAAAACTAAGCCTTCCAAGCCCCGCCCCACATTTATTTATTTACTTGTTTATTAACACAAAAAGAATATTAAAAAAAAAGGAAAAAAATTATTGACACGCAAACAAACAAGAACTAGGCGTAGTTAGTTGGAGTTTGGATTTGATTTCAATTCCAATTACAATCTGATCAAACGTCATCTCTCTGTGTGTAGCACTTAGATTTTAGATCGTGTTTGTGTGTGGTGGAAGAGATGATAGCAATTCCCTATCTCACAGCCTTAACAACTTACTTCAGCTACGGTTTGCTCTTCGCCTTCGGTCAATTCAGAGATTTCTTCCGCAAATTCATCGATTGGTGCAGTTCCAACAATCTTCAGGTTCTCTTTCTTTTCCCCTTCTTCTCCATCCACCCCTTTCATTTCATTGTTAACCCTTCTTTCTCCCATGCAGGGTTACGCTCCGATCTGCTTAGGCCTCGAAGACTTTTATATCCGTCGATTATATCTCCGTATTCAGGTATTTTGTTTTCTCTTTTAATTTCTATATAATTCGTTACTAGCAGTGTTTGAAAAGGTTTTTCGATACTCCAAATTTTAATTTAATTTTATTTTTAAACGTTAATTTCATTTGGATTGCATTTATGAAGTGGTTGTTTGTTTGTTTCCGAATTTGTCTTTTGGCAGGACTGCTTTGGAAGACCGATATCAAGTGCTCCTGACGCTTGGTTTGATGTAGTGGAACGCTACTCGAATGATAATAATAAGACTCTAAAGTATAATTCTTATATTAATTTGAAATGCCTGAATTTTCTTTCTTTGGAACTGTTGCAGTTGTAATTTATGTGGCTCTCTCTTGTTGTTTCTTAATGCAGACGGACCAATAAGATAAGTAGATGTCTCAATTTGGGGTCTTACAACTATCTTGGATTTGCTGCGGCGGATGAATACTGTACGCCTCGAGTTGTTGAGACGTTGAACAAGTATTCGCCGAGCACGTGCAGCAGCCGGGTGGATGGGGGTTAAGTACATTATTTTGTGTGTTGGCAATTAAAACAGTTTGGTTGGTTATCTATCTATGCATGTGTTTGAAATGTGGCTTCTCTCATAGGCACTACTGCACTTCACAATGAGTTGGAGGAACAAGTTGCAAGCTTTGTTCGAAAGCCAGCTGCTATTGTTTTTGGTATGGGTTATGTGACTAACTCTGCTATTCTTCCAGTCCTGATGAGGAAGGTCTGTGATAATGGTTCAATGATTTTGCTTCAGTGAGATATGTAGATTGTATATTTTGCGTGATTAGTTATTGATATTTCTATATTTTTTACAGGGAAGCCTTATCATCAGTGATTCATTGAACCACAACTCAATTGTTAACGGTGCACGAGGATCTGGAGCAACTATTCGCGTTTTTCAACATAATAGTGAGTGTCTATGCCACATACTAAAATAAGATGAATTGGTTGTTAAGTAGTCATGTTTTCAGTTTCCAAATACCAAGGTTGTAGACTGTTAAAACCTATCTCCTGTTATTAAGAAAGGTCTTAGTTTCGGTTATTGGTTGGGAGATAATGTTGGCTACTGTTCTGCACTATATCATTTCCATTTTATATACAGTAAATGTATAAAATCACATGTTTTTGCATGTAATTTCTGCTGACATAGCATAAAAGGTATTACTGAACTAGTTTTTTATTTTAGTTGAGTAGAAGCGCTCGCAACACACTTCATGGCATACTCTTTCCAACACACTTCTTATTATCGGGAGAAATTCGTGTGGGACCCACTAAATGATGTGGGTCTCATCCCTTATTTAACAAGTAACATTTGTTATTTAACATGATCCACATGAATTCCACTCAATAGTAGAGTGTATTGCTAGTCCTCTAGTTATGTCTATGTGGATTTTGAACGCTTGTCTCTTTAGTTATGTCTATTTTTTTAACTTAGCTATTAGGTTGAAGTTTTGCCTTTGTCTATTTTCTGTTCTTGTGTTAATATTATGGTGCGTAGAATCTTCATAGCATTGTTTATTTGCTTTCTCTTTGCTATGTTACCTGCAGCACCACCACATCTTGAAGAAGTTTTAAGAGAACAAATTGCAGAGGGACAGCCAAGGACCCATAGGCCATGGAAGAAAATAATTGTTATTGTAGAAGGGATATACAGTATGGAAGGGGAGCTTTGCAAACTTCCAGAGATCATAGCTATATGCAAAAAATACAAGGTTGGTTAATATTGTAACCCCTATCTTCTGTACAAATCGTGCATTTCTTTTCTTTAGTACTTGTTTTCCACGTGCCTTGTTTTTTTAATATTTTGGGAAGGGGAGCTGTTGAAGTATTTCATCTCAGTTTAAGATCCATAGATTGCGATAAGTCTATAAGGAAAAAGAATCCTGTTACTATTATAAATGAACTGCTGTAACTGGTTTGTGTCCACAAAAATTGTCTGTGTTTAATGTGGATTCCGTTCAAACCGTCGAAATAGAAGGTGTTTCTTCATTTTGCTCCTTGCTTTCCCTTCCCTTGAAGGGAAATTTGGATTAATTTTTCATTATCAGATTTTATTTGTAATTTTAATTTTGTATATGGTTACACTCCGTACACTTCCATTGATGTATAGGCATATACATATTTGGATGAAGCACACAGCATTGGAGCAGTGGGAAAAACAGGAAGAGGTGTTTGTGAGCTCTTAGGTGTGGATACTGCTGATATTGACATCATGATGGGGACATTCACCAAATCATTTGGATCATGTGGGGGTTACATTGCAGGATCTAAGGTATGCTGCATGTATATTTGAATATCGTATTCAAATTTAATGATTACAGGGTGTAGAATTAAGAGAGAGTGCATAGAGAGAGAGATAGATTAGTGTGCTGGAATTGGATGCTCTAAAATGTGTAGAGACCATTATATTTATAGGGATACATATGTAATGTACTCGGCCAAGCCCGTTAGTGTAATACTAACGTAAACCTTAATCCTATTACGTTTATTATAACTATTTATAAAACTCTCCCTTAAGCTGGATGGAACATAGATATTATTAATCATGCCCAACTTGTTACAAATATAATTGCTACGTGTCCCATTTAAAGCCTTTGTAAACACATCTGCTAGTTGATCGCTTGTCCTAACATGAGAGATGGATGGATGTTTTTGTTGAACTTTTTCGCAAATAAAGTGATAGTCTATCTCAATATGTTTTGTCTGTTCATGAAAAACTGTATTTGAGGCAATGCGTATCACTGCCTGGTTATCACACCAAAGTTGCATATAGGCTTAATGCTACCAAATCCTATCTCTTCCAACATATGTTTCAACCACATTAACTCATAAGTAGTCTGAGCTATCGCTCTGTATGTTGATTTTGCACTCGATCTCGATACAATGTTTTGTTTCTTACTTTTTCACAAAATTAAATTACCTCCTAAGAACACAGAGTATTCGGTAGTAGATTTTCTGTCCATAAATCCTGCTCAATCAGTATCAGAAAATGCCTCTATCTGTGCATGTCCATGATCTTTGTACACAATTTCTTTTCCTGGTGCTTTCTTCAAATACTTCACAATGTGGATTAGTGCTTTCCAATGAGTATCTGTCAGAGATGACATAAACTGGCTAACAACATGCACTGGAAAAGCAATATTCAGCCTTGTGACAGTCAAGTAATTTAGCTTACCTACTAATCTTTGGTATTTCTGTGGATATGCAAAAAGAACTTCATCTGTTATCAGTTTCACTCCTGGCTCTATAGGTGTCTTACATGGTTTAGCTCATTTTAGTCCAGTCTCAGTAATTAAGTCTAAGACATATTTTCTCTGTGAAAGGAAGATTCCTTACTTGAAGTGCATGACTTCAATACCCAAAAAGTATTTCAGAATTTGTAAGTTTTGTGTGTGAAACTTGTTTGAAGAAATTTCTTTAGGTTGCTGATTCCTTTTTTGTCACTACCTGTAATAACAATATCACCAACATAAACAAGTAAAATACAACCATGGTTAGTTTGTTTGTAAAACATTGTATGATCACTTTCACTTCTCACTAATCCAAATTCCAGAATCATGTCATTGAATCTCCTAAACTATGCTCTAGGTGATTGTTTCAAGCTATGAAGCCTAGATACTTCAAACGACACTGATACGATACGAATACGGGGATACGGAAAAAATTTAAATTTCAAGATACGATATGACTTAGATACTTTAACATGAATTTAAAGAAATAATATTTATAAAGAGATATTGATAATTAATTTATAGTAATGTGTTACATTCACATATTAATGATCACATTTTACAAAAAAAGATACATACGATCATATCTTTCCCTTATCTATGAACATATAAAAAATTACATACTTTACCCCCTATTCAAGTTAGAATTCTACAAAAGAAATGTTAGTTCTATCCAAAAGAAATATAGAACTATCATAAAAAGAATGTTCTGCTTTTATACTATTTAATTCTAACATTGTCACACATTTCCTCCATCCCCATCGTCTACAAAAAGCATAACTTTTAAGTCTGGTTCATCAAGAGATAATTCAGCCAATTCAAGAAATCCAGCACCATTATCAAGTGGATCATGTACATCTCCACTAATATCCCACATCCTTGTCTCTCCTTTAGTATACTTTTCTTCTTTCCTAGACAAAAGAAGAAGGTTGGAATGCACATAAACCAACTCCTTAGCTCTTTTTGGATCCATTTTGTTTCTCTTCAAAGAATGAATGAATGAGTACTGCTGCAATTCCTCTCACAACAAGATGAGGAACAAGGCTGTACAAGAAGCTTTAAGGCAAGCTTTTGAAGTAAAAGGGCAGAAGATCCATGCATTGCCCACCAAGATTTTGGGTCTAATATCCACCTATCTTCAATCAAATCAAAAGAAGCAAAGTCACAGGCACAAGATGAGAAATTCGAGAATTCAACAAAAACATTTTTTCTTTTCTCAGCATTAGAAAAATATCTCTTCAAACATTTGTTCTTTTCTCTCAAAACTTCATCATCTTGATGTGGAGGAACTCTATTTGGAGCTTCCCTAAGCCATTCTTCACTATAATACCTACATATGATTAAAAAATTTGTTATAGTATGATTTTTATTTTTCAAGAGATATTAACTAAGTTGAAATTTACCTTGGGTTCAATGAATGAGTCAAACAATAAAGTGGAGTACAACTCTTGCTCCACCTAAAATTCAGTATACTATAAACCACATCATAAAAATTAGAAACTTCATTTGTTTCCTTTTCCTCATGCCTATATATGATTGTCTTCACTTTTTCTATTATGGAATCCCACATTTTATAAACCAAATGAAGAGTAGAAGCATCTCTGTCACATTTTCTAAGCATGATATATATAGGATCCATGAAAGAAAGAATATATTCTAATTTATCCCACCATATATCATTTAAAATAAGTTCTTTCACATGGGCAGCTTTACCAACATCATCTTCTCTTAAACTATTTCATTGGTCATTGATGATCATATTTTGCAAAGCATGTTTCAATAACTTCAATCTTTTTAGCATGACAATCATTGATACAAAACGGGTTTCAGCAACAAAAAGCAATTTAAGAGATGAAAACTCATTAAAAATAGCCAATCTCATAGAGTGAGTCATTATGAAAGTCTTGATAAAAGATGCATCATCAACTAGGAGAGTAGTCCAATGACACTCATTGCAAAAATTTTCATTTCCATCAATATTTCTAGCTGCACATATGTTTTTCAATGCTAAATTCAAAGTATGAACAACACAAGGGGTCCAAAACACATGATGAAACTCAGCTTCAATTAACATCCCAGCTGCCTTACAAATAGGAGCATTATCTGTTATGATTTAGACAACATTTTTTTGCCCTACTTCATCATTTTACATCCTTTATTATGCTGGCCATGTAATGTTTATCCTTGTACTCCTTAGAACCATCAATAGCCTTTAAAAATATTGCCCCTCCTTCACTTACAGCCATAAAATTTATCAATGGCCTTCTTTGAACATCTGTCCATCCATCAGAAACTAATGTAACTCCTTTTATAAGCCATAAAGATTTTATAGGTTGGAGCAATCTTTCAATATGAGATCTCTCTTGTTGTAAATGACTAGTTCTTAAAGCATTATAACTAGGAGGAAGGAAATCACTAAGGTTATGGTTTGCAGCTAATGAATAAGAGCTAACATAGTAAGGATTTCTAGCAAGATGAAATGATAAGCCAGCTGAACAAAACATTCTTGCTATCTCTGCCCTAAGTTGATTTCTTTCATTCACATTGAAAGCCCTTTCTAGTATACCACTTCCTATTTTTTTCCTTTTCTAGGATAAGATTGCTGGAGCTGCTGAAGGTAGTTGGATAGTTTTGGGCTTAATTTTATTCTCAACTTCTTCACAAATTCTCTTCAAATTAGCCAAGTATTCAGGAGGGATCTTAGGACTAGGGATAGAAACAGGACAGACCAGGCCAGTCTTTATTTTAAACAGACTTAACCTGTAGCATAATTATTAGGCTTGAGTTTACTTGTTAAAGGCTTTATTTTCAGCATGACTTGACCTGAAGTCAGTTACAATTTTTTTTAATATTAATAAAAATATAAATATTTTATTATTAAATTAGTTTACATATTTTTTTAATTTTCATCTATGTTATTAATAATTATTAAATAATTATAATAATATTTATATAACTTTATAAATAATTTTTAAAATATTATTTAAACATTAATTATAAATATTTTATATTAATAAAAATTATATTTATATTTTCTTGATTTATTTTTTACAAATTATTTAAATATTAAAAGATTTTAGTTTTATTTTAGAAGCATATTTTGTTTGTTTAAAGACATCTTATATTCAACAAATAAAGTTATAGTGAACACATAAAATTGATCATAAAAATAACATTCATACAATTTGTTGAATTAATTAACAAATATATATTATGTTTTAAAAATAAAATAAATTTAAACTTAATGCAATATATATATATATATAATGACAATAATAATAACTATTAAATTTAAAAAATAATTACAAAATATTTAACATTAATTTTTTATTTTAAATTAACAAATAAACATAAAATTAATTACACTATAACATTAATGTAATATAGAAAATATTACTGATACAATAAATAAAAACACGTACTTATATATTATATATAAATTGATAAATTAACTAATAATTTAATTAAAACATGTACTTATATATTACATATAAATTGATAAATTAACTAATAATTTAATTAATGTTAATTTAAAATAACATTAATTTGTTATTTTAAATTAACAAATAAATATAAAATTAATTACACTATAACATTAATATAATATAAAAAATATTACTGATACAATAAATTAAAACACGTGCTTATATATTACATGTAAATTGATAAATTAACTAATAATTTAATTAAAACACTTGCAAATTACAAAAATATATATTATTATATAATTTATATATATATATATATATATATATATATACACACACACACACACACTAATATATATTATAATAATTGAATATTAATAATAATAAAATTAAAATATAAAAAATATATTAATAGAGCATTAATATTTATTTTTAAATTTTAATTCATTTAGTTTTAACTGTGTTTTATTTCTGTTCAAAGACTTAGACGTTCTTCAACTTATTTAAATGTAACAAGTTTAATAATTTATGATTAAATAAATTTATTTTTTAAACATGTGTAATTGTGTATAAATATTTTTAGTTTTGAATATAATATAAATTAATTATTTAAA